ATATTCTCCAGGATGTCCATGTTCCCTATTCCACTGTGGAGCTCAGAACCGGACACTACACCAGGTGTGGCTTGAACAGTGCTGAGTGAAGGCTATGAAGGATCAACTTGACCTGCTGTCGGCATTTTTCCTAATGCATGCCAGGATGCTGTTGGCCTTCTTTGCAGCACATTGCTGGCTCATGTTCCACGTGATGTCCACCAGTACCTCCAAAGCCTCTTCTGTCAAGCTGCTTTCCAGTTGGATGTCCCTAAGCATACTTTGTTGTCTGGGATTGTTCCTCCCCAGATGCAGAAATTTGCACTGTTCTTTCTGAGCTGCATGAAGTTCATGTCAGCACATTCCTCCAGCCTGCTGAGGTACCTCTGGATGGCAGCATGTCCCTTTGGCATATCAGCTACTTACCCCATTTTTGTGTCATAAATAAACTGTGAGGTTATGTTCTGCCTGTCATCCAGATAATTAATGAAGGTGTTAAACAGGAATGAACCTGGTATTGACCCCTGGCTACATCACTGATCACTGACCTCACCCTTTGGGCTTGGTCAGTCAGCTTTTGATCCAGCTCAATGTTTGCTTAGCCAGCCTGTACATCAACAGTTTGTCTATGAGAGTCTTATGAGATACAGTGTGGAAGGCCTTACTGAAGTCTGGTAGACAATGACCCCTGCTTATTCCTTCTGTATCTTTCATCAGAGAAGGTTACCCAGTTGATTAACTGTTTCTGATGATTTTGTTGTCATTTATGTACCTGAAGAATGGTTTCCAGGATTAGCTGCTCCATCACCTTCCCTGGGATCAAGCTGAGGCTGATCAGTCTGTATTTCTCTGGGTCCTCGTCCTTGAAGATAGGAGTGACATTTGCTTTCCTCTGGTCATCAGGCCCTTCTTCCATTCATCATGATCAACCAAAGATGGTCAGGAGTGGCTGTGCAATGAGATCTGCCATCTCCCTTAGCACTTGATGCATCCCATAAGGACCCACGGACTTAACCTGTGTCCTGTTTGCTTAAGTATTCCACACCAAGGGCAAGAGTACAACTTCCTTGCTCCAGACTGGTCTCAGAGAGTTGGGCCTTCTGCAGAATGGTCTTGTTAATAAGACTGAGAAAAGGTGGCATTCAATATTGCAGACTTATTTGTGTGTCTTTCTCATTGAGCAGTGGGTTCACATTATCCTTAGTTTTCTTCTTATCACCTATGTACTTATAGAAATGCTTCTTGTTGTCTTTGACATCCCTGGCCAGACTCAGTTCCATTTGGCCTTTAGCTTTCCTAACTGCATCCCTGGATGCTCAGGTATTTTTTCTGTATCCCTCCTGCATTCCCTGTGATGGCTTCCTCCCAATGTATTATTTTTGTGTTTGGTTTTTTTCACAGGAGGTCCTTGTTCATCCATGCAGGCCTCCTGGCATTTTACCTGTTTTCATAGTTGTTGACATGGATCTCTTGTGAGCTTGAAGGATATTATCCCTGAATATTACCCAGCTTTCTTGCCCCTATTTTCACTTGAGGGCTTTATCCCATGGGATTCCACCACACAGATATTTGAAGAGTCTGCTCTCATGATTGTGAGCTTTCTTTTGCATCTCCTGTCCCATGGATCCTGAACTCCATCATCCCATGATCTCTGCAGCCAAGGCTGCCTTTGATCTTCATATCCCCAGTGAACCCCTCCTCCTTGGTAGGTATGAGGTTCTGCAGATCACTTCCCCTCACTGACTCTGGCACTTGTGGCAGGAAGTTGCCACTAGGGCACACCAGGAACCTTCTGGAGTTTTATCTGGCTGCCTTCTGCTGTCAGTCATCCCCCACCCCACTGCAAGAAAAGCTGCGTTTCTCTGTTGCTGTTTTGGCTTGCGAGGGTTAATACTTTGTTGCTGTTGCTGCTGGTTGATGTGACACGTGAACTGTGCTCTTTGTCACAGATCTTTGCCAACAAACCTGTGCCAGTAGATGAGATTTATTTTTAGGACTAAATGAATATCTTTGATTTTTGCCTGATGTTTTAGCTTCTGACGTAATTAATTGGCTGCTCAAGCATCTGCTGCTACCTAAGCAGCTGATAGTGGAATGAACTGAGGAGATCTGAACTCCTTGTACCTATGATTGTGATGGAGAGCCAGGTAGTAGGAAAAAGACTGCCCAGAAAGAGAATGTTTCATTCCTGATTAATCCCTGTTGTATTGGTGTTAAGTTGGATAGTGAGTTGACAAGCAGCTCAGCAAGAGGAGGTAGACTGCAGGAATTACATGATAAAATCATGGCAAGGTTGGATTTTCTTGGCAGCAAGAGCAGCTCTTGCATACTTAAGCCAAGGTGGCAGCAGACTTTACCTGGTTGGGTTTTTTCAATTATGTCTTTTCATGTTGTCTATTTTTGAGACAAATGCCTTTTCTAACCTTCACAAAGGTCTTGTGTGTTTGTTCGAATGTTCCCCTCTGTGTCAGAAGGGGTAAGTACTTCACTAAAGGCAAGATGTAGGTGCTTTTGCAGAAAATCTTGTTTTTCCAAGGTTTATGTATACATTATCTGGACTGCAATAATATTTCCCATAAAAATTGAGAACATTTACATGTCTTTTTGTTTTGTTTTGGACTTGTTTGAAAATTCTTACTCTCAGTTCCTTACTATATCAGGTTCCTAAGACTTTTGCCCTTCTTATTGTTTCCTCCATCTCACTTCAGGGGAGTGACCAAGCAACTGAGTGGGGACTTAGCTGTTAGCCACATCAACCTACCACACCTTATATATCCTTCTGTATACCTGCTGAAAGCCCTATAAACCTTCTGCAGAGTTAAAAATTCAAGTGACTTTAGCTTTTGGTATCATATTAAAAAGAAGAATAAAGCACAGAATCTTCCAGAGATTAGCTGTGAAATCAGTATTTACAAACGGATTTATATTAAAAAACCCACTTTATTTTAGTGTTGGAATAGGAAGATATTGAAGAGAAGAGCTGTACCTATGGGAGAAAAAAAACTTATTTGGGGGAAAAGATGATACCAATTTAAAATATATTAAAGTTTGAAGAAATAAAATTTTTGTTAAGAATTTTTTGCCCTATTTAAAAGGCAAATATACACACGGTTTTACTTTCAGGAAAACCTTGGATTTTGAAATTGTTTGAAGGTAAATAACTGTTCTTGGAGGAACAGATCAAATTGCCTTTTTTTTTTTGATTCCAAAAGGAGGAGGCTTGTTGAGTAGGTAACTTCATATATGAATTCACAAATTCTACAGATTCCTTGAAATGCTTAGTAGAGACACCCTAAAAATCCCAGTATCTGAATGGAAAACTACAAATGGAATGAAGCAATTGGAACCACAGTGTGTTACTTTATATGAATTGGGTTAAAATTTTGCAAAGTTTTTGTGTAATTTTTGTGTAAGGAAATCTGAATGTTATCTGTTGTCTTGAATCCTGGTAAGAATCTTTCTTCTGGAATTTCCTACATGTTGTCAGGCCAAGGTTGTAGCATTTTTGTTTTGTTTTGCTTCTGTTTTGGTGGTCAGAAGGTGTTGAGACAACTTCAGGATTGTAGCAGCTGAGTAAGTTTTACACTCATGGAAACTCTTGTTAACACATGCAGTTAGTCATGCTGGCCAAGGGTTTGAGAATTACATGCCGTGCACAGCACCTGGCACATTCAGAGTCCCTCTTTTAGCTGTCAATATTCCTTGTTTTAATAAGGAGTTCTTTGAAAGCCAGGAGAACCCCCCCCATTCATTAATTTAAAAATTAACACATTATTGTAGGACTTTGAAATACTATTCCCTGAAAGATTAAGCTGGTTTTTTTTTTATTTCTGTGGGTGTTGGTAGTATTGTTTGCTAATGTGGTGGAATTAATCACTGTGTTTTCCTCTGGAAAAGCCCCCAGTCCCTTATACAGCTCTGTGTCGGGCTATAAGAAGTTATTGGTTGATCTGGAGTTACTTGTGTTATGCCACTGGTGCTGGGCAATTTGATGGAGTTCCTGAGATAATTTTCTAACTTTTCTTTAATTTCTTTACTTCTTTTTTGTCCCTGGTATGTTTAGTTCTTTCCCCCAAAGATGCAGAGCATTTTTTGGTGGGGTTGTTATGAGTTACAGAGAGCCAAATATTCCCTGCACAACTGGGTGCTTAATGCAGGTGAAGTGACATGATCCCTTTGACCCTCTTTGCTACCTTCTGTAAAGGAAATTTTTCCTTCCCTTTGCAATATTTTTTGAGCTCTTTGGTCCTGGGTAGGCATTTGCTCACTCAGATATAAATGCAGCTTCATTTCTACCTTAGTAACTTCTGTCAAATACAAAGAAATGTCTTGAGATCATATTTGAGGCTTTAGGTGCAAGATTGAGACAGAGAAATATTTCATGCTGCTGTTGTTAGTGAGTCACTTAATTACTCAAAATGTTGATTTACTCACCCTTGATGCCTATAATAAATATTTCATGTATAATTATAAAACATTAATACTTTGAGATTGGCAGAGATTTGTAACAGTTGTATAACAAAGCAGGTGTTTGGAGTGAATGAATAAACAGTACATTTTGACTGGAAGTTGTGTTAACTAGTGAGTAAAAAAGGGGCCCTTTTATGTGACTAGAAGATTTTCTAGAGTTTTTTTTATCCTAAATTTCAATGATCTTTTTGTAGATCTAAATATGAGACATGTATCTACATATGAAAATGGTTTTATTGGTAAATTGAATTTTCTTGTCACTCTCAGTTGCTTTTTTATTAGTTAAAGAAAAATGAAACTGTTGTATAAAATGACTATTGACAGTCTGTAGTTTTTGGGTTTGAACAGAGCCATGTTTTTGAATCCATGTTATTATTTTCTATTGTTGCTGTTAGGTTTCACTGTGTGGACCTTCATCTCAAGGAATTATTGTTTGCTGACCATGGATTCAAACACAGTAAAAAATGTTGAACACATTGTAGATATATGTTAAAATAATTTGGAAATACATTATTTTAATACAAATTCAAAATTGCTTTTTGTTTTATCAGCAAACACATATCTCTTTATGGTGCAAGCTCGTGGTATAATGTTGAGAGAAAATGTAAAAACAATAGGACACATGATAAGATTGTACACTAACAAAAATACTACACTGAATGGCACAGGTAAGAATATTTCTTATTTCTTTTTAAAAGACCTCTTTTTTTTTTTTAATTTTTAAAAAAAGCCAATCATTAATGACATAGCTCGATTATGAAAACTTATACCTAAATCCTACTTCTCTGAAATTGGAGTCAAGGTCAAATAGTTACTATTTATCAGTTCACTTCAGTAGGAAAAGTTTCTATTATCTGTAACAAAGATACTTGTATTTAATTATTATTCCTCTAGAGCAATAAAATGCTTTTAAAATCATGTTGCTAGGAATTTGCTAACTAAAAATTAATGCTCTCACCTGCATGATGATATCTTACAATTTCAGTGGATAACACAGGTTTTTACAAAAATCAATTCTTCTTTTTAAGATTATCCTGAAGGAAACAATTCTAGTGACTGTGTTGCTCAAACAACAATGTATCTTCCAGAGAACTTCACCTACTCTCCTTACCAGCCTTGTCCAGAGAAGCTGCCTTACATGAGTAAGTTTTAAAGTGATCTTAATGTTTATCTAGTAAATTAAATTGTATTTTAAACAAAACACAGTTATTTTAATATAAAATAAAATTATAAGGAGTCTAAGGATATAACAGAAATTAATGAATAAAATACATCTGATAATGCACAATGATGCTTAGCAGAAGTTTGCCTGTAACTAATGTGTTACTGAAGTTTTGGTCTCTTTACTAATCACCTTTACTAATTTGAAATCAAATAATTGAACTACTGATTTGTAAGAGAAAAAATTTCACTTAGTTTCTGAAGTTATTTGTAATGTATTGCAGAATTCTAACCTCTTGTCTTTTAGACACCTGACTTAATCTGTAGGCTGTCATTCAGCATGAGCAATTAAGTAAATATCTAATATAGCAGTTCAGATCCATATCATACCAAAAAATGTTGCTGGCAGTTGAACTAAAATCTGGTCAATTTTTCTTCAAAGAAAAAGAGTGGATTTTCTTAGGATAATCTAGATTCCATTATAATTTTTTAATCTTAACTGAGTTTATCTGTTGAAGAAAACCAAATCAGTGCATGTTACCTGTGTTTCTTCTCAATAATGTCAGATTCTAAGCTTTGTTTTATATTTTAAACATAGAGACATGGAGCCAAAGGTATAGATCAGTTGCTGTTGCTTATGAAACTAAATCATAAAGAAAACTGTCTTAAGCCAGGTAGTAATTAGCCCCATGGTGTGACAATATCCCTATTTAAACCTCTTTCCCTCCAGACATAGGGTTTGACTTTCAAAATCCCATTTTTATCTATTTTTGGACAGCTAAACAAATTAAACCAAATTATTTCAGTAGTATATTTTTTAACTACTTTTGGAAACATAAAAGGTTTGCAAATGGCAAATCTGGATAATTAGAGAAACAGGATGTGATGTTTTTGCTGATTAAAAAATGCACATAAATTAGTATTTTTAATGTCACTTTCAAGGGATCTGGCAGTTGGAATTCTGTCAGATTAGTTCAAAACAAAGTAATTTCACCAGTAGTTTCTCTACAGATCTCTTTGTTGCCACTCTCCTTTTACCACCTTTTTGTTGATGGTATTTTTTTTTTTTGTTTGTTAGTAATTGCTCTGTACTTCTTCTACCCTGTTTAATTTAATAGAGAAATAATAATTTTAATAGAAAATAATTCACTGGATAAGTTGCTTTTCAACCAAGGGATATGTGTTTCCCTTTTTGGTTTCCATGTATGCCATTTTAATCATTATCTCTCTTTCTAATTATAATCTAAATAAAGCATCTCTGAAGATCTTTTAATTTAATGAAATGTTGTAGGAAGTGTGAGATAGCCAGGGAAGAAAGACATTTGAATAATGTATATTTTGACATGCTTAATTAGTCTAAGGTTATTATAGAAGTCATCTTTTCTTCTTTTCATCAACTTACCAAATTTATATCATGAAAGGGAGGGGCATGGTAAAATCATATTAGGTCCCAAGTACATATGCTCTTAAAATAAGAGCAGCTATTGCCTTTTTTGTATGACTCAGTAGAACAGGTTATACTGCCCACTGGTTGGGCAGTGCTGTTGTAATTTGTAAGCAAAACACTGTAAGATTGAATCTGGGAGTGCAATACAACAAAACACTTCTTCTTCAAGATAGATGCAGTGCAAGAATGTCTTTTCCTTTGTAGATAAACTGATAATCCCAACCTTTCTAGACTGCATAGTTTCTAAAGCTCTTGTCATTCTTGAATTTTTTGCACTGTAGACCGTCTTTAATTTGATTTCTTTCTAAAGCATCATAACTGGCTTAAATCCTGGTTACAAAACAAATTCGTTTTGGAAAACTTCTTTTTTTTTTCACATAGCAGCAGTTAATACATTCCAGGATGAGATTTTCTATTTCTGTACAATTGCATTGCGCTGGCTCATATTAATGTGCAATCCATTACAAACTGTAAAACTGCCTGGCAGCATAGCCAGGTATTGCTTGTTTTGTTGTGCATGCTTCATTTTTCCTTCAGGAAGAAACAATCCTTTATTATTTTAAATTAATTTTAATTTATTGGTTTCTGGGTCTACCTCATTTGTTGAATTAATTTTTTTCTGATTTTCTTCTTCAAGATTTTTTTTGCTTTCTCAGCTTTCTTATTTTGTGGGTTGTATAAATGTTTTATTGCAGCCTACTAGACACTGATGGAACTAGTGAATACAAAGTGCAGCTATTTACAGTGATGCTTTTTCCTGCTCCCCACCAGTGAAGGGGAGAAAAATGCTGATTTCTATTCACTCATCTCCTGTGTGTTTTTGGTAGTACCAATACTTCAGGTTTTACTATAGCTTCTTTTTAAACACTTTGGATGGAAATTTATCATGTCTCATGGAGCTAGAAGCACCTTTATCTAAAGGTTTTATCTAAATACTGTTCTACCATTTGATGTTTCTTTCTGATTTAAACTCTGTAGTCATCTGATCACATCCGAACTTTTCTCAGAATACTGAGGTATCTGAGTCACATCATGTGCTATTTCCTTCCCTTTCTGGTGTAGTAATTGACCTTTATTTATCTTTATTTTCCTTTTAGATTCTGTATTTGGACTGAAAGGCTCTTATTGCTTTTCTGGTCTTGGTAGTTGAAATTGATTTTTTTAATTTAAAAAAAATTATTTTGTACATGTTTATATACTAGTCCTTTGTTGATTGACCTTGATTCTATATTTCATAAGATTTCTTTTTTGGGTTATTGAAGAATTTCAGACACAGCCATTATGATAATCTAAGCTTATTTTTAAAAATTATTTTTATTTTTAATTATTTTAAAATTTTTATTTAAATCTCTGTAGGACTAGTCTGTTCTAGTGTTTGTCTATATAGGTTTTTTAGCAACTGCCAGCTTCCTTTTTTTCCTAAAATAATTAAATTAATATGGATTTCTTGAAATCTTCTCTTGAAATAGCTCCATAGTGTACTGTTGTTGATAATTTTTCACCTATGATTTTACATTAAAAAAGTTACCTTCTTCATTTGCAAGTAGTACTTTATTTAATCATATCCCAAACTAAAATAACTCTTGCAGTATCTTCTGCCTTCTTCTGAAAACAATAGTTATTCCTAGTGCGTTCCAAAAATTTCAGTATTTTCAAAAGATTTACATAACTGGTCAGTTTAGTGACACAAATAGGGTATTTTGTGTATGGACACATGGGAGAAAATGGGAGTGATTTTTGGATTGACTTTAAACCATCTATCACCAAAATACTTAACTTTGTAGACAAAAATAAGAATATTTTGTGGTGTTTGTCAGAAAGTTCTTGCAAGATTTTTGTATGAATATTTAGAGTGTAGTAGCTGCCGAAGAAAAACGTGAGCTTCTGGTTAATAAGTATTACATTAGTCTTCTCCCCAGATTTTCTTGCTTCTTTCTATTACTTTTGAGGGTTTTTACTATGAATCATTATTTCCAGTTTTGAACTTTTTACACATGCATAAGCTAACGACTGCCAACTTTCAGCTGTCAACTAATGTTAATATTTTCTCATAGTAGGTACTAACCTGATTTTTTTTCAAATCATATCGTGGCCGTTATTCAATAACTTACTGAATTTCACTTTCATGCCTTTTGCAAATGGTTTTTCCATTGGGGTCATTAGTTCTACCAGTGGTAATTCTCAAATCCAGCCCCTTGCTATGAATTGGTTTGAAGCAAGCTGTGGTGAATTAGTGGATGAAGACTCTACATGAAACATACAAATAATCTAAAATTTAAATTGAGGAAATTTGTTGAATGTAGTGATGATACATTTTCCTTTAATGTGGAATTGGAGCAGGAAGGCACACAGAATCTGAGTAAAGGTTCAGTAGTGCAGATGATGTAGAATTGTTAACAGTGGTACTTGAAATGAAAGGCAACCCAAATTTTCTGTAAGAGATGCAGAATTCAAATTACTTTGCTAGTTCTGTGTCCTTTGAAATTAGTATTTTGTTTATAGGTTTTATGGAAGGAATGTTTGTTTTTAGAAACACTAAAACTTCATTCTGTTAGAATTAAATATTAGGAGGATAGTATAAATTGTTTCTTTTTTCCTGTAGGTAGTGTAACTACAAATTTCTGATACCATTTGTCCATTATATTCCTTGTAGCATTAGGTCAATTTTCTTAATTGAAATTAATATATAAGTTTTTTTTTCCTCTCTTTAGGAGGCCTTATTGATGTTAATATGAGTGAAATTAGTTTTGATGAAATTCAACGACTGTTTTCAAAAGATTTAGACATTAAACCAGGAGGACACTGGAAACCAAATGACTGTAAGCCACGGTGGAAGGTTAGATGCTGGTTTTCTGTTTTGGTTTATTTTTTCTTGTTGGCATATAAGAATAATTTACCATTACAAGCACTCAGTCTTTGGTGCTATATATATAGTATCTTATAGTATTTGTAGTGTGCCATCTGTGCTCAAGAAGAAACTTCAGCTAGGAGAAAAATTTGAAATGGATCATGAAGAACTTTTAAAGGTTCATTAGCTGTAGTTACTAAACATTTCATCTTATGGATGCAAATCTGTCCTATGTGTCTGTTGTTTGAAGTATAGAAGCAAGTGAACATAAAAGGAAAATCTTAACATTTTACTTAAAATTTTTTCTTAATTATTTAAGCAAATTTTCAGCACAATTTCCTAGGGGGAGCAAACATGTAAAACACTGAGCCAGTTTAAATGTAAAAGTTGAAAAGCCGCAGGAAACTTGATATGTATTGAAAAATTAAAACTTTAAAATGCTGATATAATAGTTTTTTTTTTTCTTTTTTTTTCTTTTTTTTAATGAAGGTGGCTATCCTTATTCCTTTTCGGAATCGTCACGAGCATCTTCCAATTTTTTTCCGTCATCTGATACCTATGTTGCAGAAGCAGCGGCTGGAATTTGCCTTCTATGTTGTTGAACAGGTAACAGCATCTACTTGAAAGGTGACTTTCAAGATTCCTTACTAAAAGGGGTTTGATATTCTTACCAAGGTTTGGATGAATCCAGAATTTAAAAATTGTTACTCCACTCTTCTACTCCTTTAAATGAAAAAGGAAAGCTGAATTTCCATTCCTCATCTTGAGCAGTGCCTGGATACACGATGCTTTTCTTCAAATATAGCATGATATTTCATAGGTAATAAGGTGGCCTCTTAGAATCTATTGTAGTTGTAAGTTGTCAAGGCAAAAAAGTAGGTCAGCAGCAGTGTTCCTCAGGGCTCGGTTCCAGGGCCTTATGTTCAGTGGATGCGGGAGCCGAATGCACCATCAGCAAGTTCTTGATCATATCCAGCTGGGAGGTTGTGGTCGACTTTTAAAGGATGGGATGCCTTGCAGAGAGTTCTAGATAAACTGGAGCACTGGGCAGTGATCAGTGGGATGAAATGTAATAAGTCAAAAAGTTGGACTCTGCACCTAGGATGGAGTAAAGCCAGGCACAAGTGTAAACTGGAGAGGAGTGCCTGGAGAGCAGCCCTGCACAAAGGGATCTTGGGGATGCTGTTTGGCAGCAGGACCAAGCTCACTCCTGGCTCACAGGAGCCAGCAATGTGTGCCCTGGAAGCCAGGAGGGCAAACCCCATCCTCAGCTCAGCCAACCCAGTGTGAGCTGCTGGTCAAAAGAGGCATCATTGTCAATTTTTTTTGTGTGTTAGAGTATGTTTTTCTCATAGTATGGAAAGTTTTGTTTCTTGATTTTTACAATGTCTCCTTTGTTTTCTGTGTGAAGACAGGTACACAACCTTTTAATCGTGCAATGCTCTTTAATGTTGGCTTCAAAGAGGCTATGAAGGATGCTGTCTGGGACTGCATAATATTCCATGATGTGGATCACTTACCTGAAAATGATAGAAATTACTATGGATGTGGAGAAATGCCACGCCATTTTGCAGCAAAGCTGGACAAGTACATGTACATGTAAGTAAATAGTTTTATTCACATTATTTCTTAAATACTCAGAAATATTTAAAAGTATGAATTTTTTTATACTATATATATATAGTAGGTGAAAACAACAAAGCAGCCTCCTACTATGCTATTTGCAGAAAGGAATAGTTAATAAAATAAAGATCTAAATTTAGTTTCTACATTTGATGTGTTATTAATTAGAATATATAATTTATGATTTTCAATGTTGAGCTTGTTGCCATGAGGTTGATCTTGAAAAAAAAAAAAAGGCTTTGTATGTCAAGGGGGAAAATCTTACCTAACTCACTAGAAATGTTTCTTGGCTACATAAACACTTCTACTGGATATTACAAAAGAAAAGCAGATGATCTGCAGCAAAATATCACAGGAAAAGTGTCTTTATTTTCTGATAAATGTACTTTTATTTCTGTTTCATACTGCTTTTTAAACTGAATATTTTCTTACTGCCAGACCATTTTGTATATTCTCTCTCATTCTCTATTGACATTTGGTGAATGTAGTGGGACCTGCAGTTTTCTTACCTCTTTCTCTTCTGTCAGTTTACATTAATGATGTGCCACTTGCTTCTTAGCACTCTGCTATCTCATGACATTCTTGGAGTCACTTCACAGAAATCGGTAGCTTATAGCTTGCTGCATGTATCTATTTGCTATCTTGGACATTATTTGTGAAATTAATCAACTTGATAACATGGTCAACTAACAGAGGAAAAGCAATGCCTTGAAACCATGGCTCTGTGTCGGAACTTCAGGTTGTCAACCAATCAGCAGTTAAATGTTTAAAGATTTCATGTGTATTTAAAAATAAATAAGTTAGCACCTATGAACAAATAAGAGATTTCATCTAACTTTGTATGTACTTATAAAATATTAATGCATTTATATGATGTCTACATAGGTAAGTATTTGAAAAATTGATAAATTTTGTATAAATGAAACTAGATTTATAAAATAAAAAAATAAATAAACCTCAGAAAGTCCCATTAACTGTCATATTTCAGTTGGTTTTGGTTGTGGTTGGTGGTCTGGTTTTGGGTTTGCAATATTTTTTTTGTTGGTCATTTTGGAGGTATGTAAGTGGGGTTTTTTGAGAGGCAGGAGGGGGGTTAAAACACCCACTCTTTCAGTTACATGTTGAAAGGCAAATATAATTGCAACCTTCTCCACATGCTATTAACATTTGGTTGAATCCTGTATTTCCACAGAGATCAGGAATTACATGATTGTCTATTTCTATTTTCTTTCCCTTTGCATTCTGGACTTATTCAGTGTGACAATTGTGTCCTTAGCAATGGTAAATCTTTTTGTAGATGCTCTTAGCTCCTTGAAGGTTCCATATTTGGAAGTGTCTCCTGAGAGACTTTTGTTTTATGAAATTGTGTGCTGCTTCTGAAAGAAAACTACTTTACTGCAGCAGCTTCTGGGTTAAGAATGCAAGTTAATATTGACAGAAGTAAATATAGATTAATTAAATGTTTTAATTTTTTTTTAGATTGACAGAGTGTTTGAAGGACTGGAAATCACATTGTCTGTGGCATAGCATGTTATATGGATAAGCTGTTCATGTTGGCCAACTGCTTATTGCTTAATTATATCTGTTAACAAATATTGTTGAATATTGAGGGGAAAGCCTGTAGATCCTTTTGATTCAAAATTTATCTTTTAAAATCTGGAAAATGTTGGGGGTTTTTTGTTTTTTTTTTTTGTTTTTTTTGTTTTTTTTTTTTTTTTTAAATCAGCATGCCATTCACTGTTTTATATGTACTGTTAAGCTGTTTCAAGTTTTAACAGTTCTGTAGAATGTAGTCATAAATTAAAATTATTTAATTTATGCATTACTGATTTGTATTTTTTCATTTGATTGAAGAGGGGTTTTTCAGTTGAATAATGTCAACATAAATAGTTTGAGGGCTTCACTTAACACTTCAGCTATGAGTCTAAATCAGCCATCTGAAATTCCTGGTATACTTTTATTTCATATGTGTGATACTAATTGCAGCTACATTTTAAGAGCACCTTTTATGCAAATCAGACACTACTGCAAACCTTTTGTTCAGCTTACTGTATGTTACTTAGTGCTGGCAATCCATGAACCAGTTTCCCTTGGTGAATACATTCAGCCTCTGATCATGTCCTTAGCTTGGGGCTCTTGCTTTTTTGGAAAGGTATTGTTTAAAGAGAGGCAGAGCTTAGAGAGAGCTTGCCTATCAAAGTTCAGCTAACAGTATAGAATTTGTCTTCTGTTTACAGCCTTCCATACAATGAGTTCTTTGGTGGTGTAAGTGGCCTGACAGTGGAACAATTCAAGAAGATCAATGGTTTTCCAAATGCCTTTTGGGGATGGGGTGGAGAAGATGATGATCTTTGGAACAGGTGAGCTTTGAGTGCTTAGATCTTTCTGCACCATCCACCCTTTGAGACCAATTAGGTGCTTTTTGCTCTGTCACTTGTTACAGTTTTGTAATTTGTTTTAAATGGGCAAGTTCTACATAGTTTGCTTCAGAAATATCAGAATATACCATTTGAAGGAATAAGTGTGATGTTGTTTTTTCCTGGCCTGGGGACAACTAGCAGGTTTTTAAGAGCTTGGTCTTGTAACAACAGATATAACAACAGGTAACCATACTAAGCACATTGCATCACTCTTACTGCTAATATTATGAAATACCACCCCACAGACATGTAGTGTAAGCATGAGTTCCATGTCTTAGGGGCAGTGCTTGACAGAGAGGTTAATTTGTGAGTATATTGGTAATCCCAGAGTGGACAACAGACAGCCCTGCTCAGGCATTACCTACTGCTCACAGTGAATGAGTCTAAACTGCTCTAACTGAGCTGTTGAAAATGTCTGCATGAGTTTTTTAGATAAAGTGTTTTATAGATAAAAGAGGTTTTTTTTAGAGTTTTATAGATAAAGATCTATATTTTAAAGGACGAGTTTGTTTTTATACTTTTTTTTTGCTGTTTCCATGCTTTTATGCTGGAACAAGCAGGAAATATTAAATATGAAATTATTATTATTTTCCATTTAATTTTGCCAGCTTTTTTAGTTGTTGGATTTGGAATGTTGCGGGGTTTTTTAGGAAGAGAATGTCAGTGAACATAAAGACATAGCTTTAAAATATTTGATGTGTATTTTTCACTTCAACTTGTATGACAAGTTGTAAGAAGATGTTTTTACAAATGTTTATATGTTATACTGCAGGGTTCACTATGCTGGATACAATGTAACAAGACCAGAAGGCGATTTAGGGAAGTACAAATCCATTCCTCATCACCACAGAGGAGAAGTCCAGTTTTTAGGACGGTAAGAAAAACAGAGAAATATTCAAATATTACAGCTAAAGATGTAAAATTTTTTCTTGCATCCACACATACAAACAAGCAGTTCTCATCAGTGTTATTTCCTCTTTGGTGCTAAAATTTGTATTCTCTTAAACACACATTTGCTGTTCAGATATTTTTTATTTAACCAAGAGAGAGACTAAATTTGCATATGAGAAGATACTATCATCATAACCTTTGATCCATAATGTTGTTGTTCCTTAATAGTTTGGGCATTAGTGCTGGCAGGGCTCCATTAGTTGCCTATTTTGGATATTTTGCAAAAGGAAGCAGTCCAGCTAGGGCAAAGGACTCCTGCATGAAAACTGACTTTAAAACTCCTCAAGGATTGGTTTCTTCTCTCATATTTCATTATTTTTTGAGATACAGGTCTTCTCATTTCCTGCATACATTGATTTAAACCTTTTCTTTTGGGGTTCCTTTCTTTTCCTACAAAGATACAAAACACTTAAACTGGCCTGTAGGTTCTGGCTGCCCTGGAATGGAATAGAAACCAGAATGCAGCAGATGAGCTACACATAAAATTTAGAAGGTGAAGCACAAAATGAAGGGTTTATGATATGTGTTTTCAGGTAACTAGAAATACTTCTCAATTCTGTCATCAATGGATTTTTTTTTTCTGGGAACATATTTTCTCTTTTAGTCATAGTTTTGAATTATGAATAAAATTATAGACATGCACAGTAGAGAGGAGTAAATCTGTTATAGGAAACTAAAATGTATATATGGATAATCTGGGGGAGGGAAACATTTTTTTAATCACCTCAAATTTAGATGTTTGCAAATGCAGGAGTCTCAAGAGTGAAATGAAAATAATTTCAGACATTTGAATGTATAATGAAGAATAGTGAAGATTGCTAAATCTTCCCTGTACACCTCAGTTGAATTTTATAGCAAAAGAACATGAAGAAATTGAATAATGTTTCAAAATCTATTCAGTTTAGGACCATAAAAAGTGTACATATTGAATGCTTCCTTTGTTATTTAGTCTTAATGTTAACTTGCATATGTGACCATAAAATCTAACTGTATTAAAAATCTTTAAAAGCTTGCTTTTAAACCTAAGGTAGGTTATTTGGTGATTTCAAGGGTCTGAAAAGTAGTTTCAGAATTTAAAGTATACTTGAAAATTAAATGACTGTCACAGTATCATGTCTAACATTAACTGAATTGTTTCTTGCACATCTTTTTCATTTTTCTTCTTCCAACTCCTTCTGCAGATACAAACTTCTGAGGTATTCCAGAGAACGTCAGTATATTGATGGGTTGAACAATTTAGCATATACTCCTAAAATACTTGTCAGTAGATTGTATAAAAATATAACTGTTAACCTCCTACCAGAACTTGCTCCTGTTAGAGACTATTGATGGAAGTGGAATGGCAAGATATCCTACCAGAATAAACCTATAACACTGGAAGCTACTGATAAACACTGTAAAACAAAACAAAACCAACAAAAAACAGCTTAGAATTGGAGTTTTTTGGTCAACTGATGATGCATATTTGGGATGAGAAGTGATTGTATGTACCATGCATTTTGATCTGAAGGAAAAGCCAGCAGCTACTACTCAGATGTTTACAGCATGAGACTACTGTTCAAGCCTTCATTCTTCATACTCTCTATCTTAACTACTCAACTAAATAAACTGCAGAAAACAGACTTGTAGCTTCCCTGGAAGTAAGGACAGAGGCCTCTTCCAGGAATTTTTTTATACTAATCTGCCCCTCCTCATATTTAAATGAATGCTTTTGTTTCTTTTTAAAATGTGTTTTGTAAATATGTGATGTAAATTAACGTGTGTACATTGCTTTTCAATTGTTCAATATTTTATGCTTCAGTATGTATTTGAGTGTGTTCTTGTTTGAATTCTATAGGAATGTTTTTGTTAGCATGAAAGAACAAGTGTAAAATGTAAGTATGCTCATAAAAAGGTTATACCTTATGTGAAATGAAGGAAATATTAATTGTTGGCCAGCTATGACTGTAAACTGTTATACTAGTTTTGAGCTCTAGGCCTTCTGCTATTTAGAAAAATATCTATTTAGAAAAATTAAATTCTTATATGAACCTGCTAGAAAGAAAGCTTCTGATTTTATTTATTGCCAGCAAAATTGTATGATACCCTGCCTGCCATCTGAATCGTATTTATATGCATATTGCATGTGTATTACAGAAAATCTTGCAGTTGTTGCATATTATGATCTACAGGAACTCTTAACTGTTTCCAAGTGTGCCACTAGTGTCAATGTCAGGGATTTTAATGCCTAAAACGATGTGTCTGGGTGCGTACAGTATTTTGGTATTGTTCTTTTTTTTTTTTTTTAAATCTTGTAAACAGCACTTTTATTCCTCCAAAATCAGAAGAGCCAAAAATGTGTCTTCATTGGAAGAATATTAAAGTTAGATTTTTAAGAGAATAGCAAAACATAGTTCTGATAGTTCAAATGCTTGCAGTGTGGGATTCTCAGAAGCACGGTGTTGGTCGCGCTGTTCTGCTGATGAGGATGGTGATGACATAAGCAGAACAGAAAGCAGGCCAATCTCAAGTGCTTTTTAAAATTCCACTCATAATATATCATTCAATATGCTATTTAAGGGCCTATCCTGGTAGAGTGCTGAGTGCTTCTATGATGCACTGAGGATCCTCAAGTCTATGACTGTCAATGAGATTGAGGTTGTGCAGTCCCACTAAGGATTGGTCCTGTCTGCTTCTCTATTTTTGTGGTGTTAAATGTATGAGTAACTAGCCTCTTTCCTTATCTTATTTTCTCTTTGCTTGTAATGTTATGCTACCTAAAAGTATCCCACTGCTAAGCATTATTATCTTTACTAATATTTTTTTACATCCCTTGTTAATACAAAGGAAAAGGACCAGGTCATTTATTTTCTATGTTAATGCAAATATAGTGACCAAGATATATTAAATTGTTTTGTTTGTCACAGTTACTCGACTCTTTAGGAACCAAAGACTGATTTCTGCTCCCATAAAAATGGAAAGCAGTATATATAATAAGGATTGTTTATCCATAGAGTGTTCTGTAAGAGTGTTGACAAAGAATCCTAACTTTAAGTCATTACTATATGTTGGTTTCCTGAATTGCTGCCACAGATGGCGTGGTGCTTTGTATATTTTAAGTTTGTTCGCCATAAACACCTTTTGTTTATTTGGCATCCCAGCAGCAAATTTTGCCCTTAGCCATCCTTCGGTAACATTATGAGCTTACCTGTAGGCATCCCAAATATTTAGTAGAAATATTATTATTTAATTTAGTAGTTGAGAGCAATTGTAAGGGATATTTTATACCATACTGGAATTACCTTAATATCTACCAGCTAATCTAATATGCTTTAGGAATGATGTAATAAAATGAAAACAACTAAAAGCATAAAGTGAAGAAAACATCCTTCAAAAGCATGCTTAAGTGGTTTGCTCATCTCCTGGCAGATTTTCTTATAACTGGGTGTATATAACATTCTGAAGCATATGGAGAAAGCTGAGATAATACACTGTATAAACAATTATATCTTCAAAATAAAATTAGTCTTATTTCATAGCAGACTAATACAGTTCTTTAAGAACAGTTGAATACATTTTTAAATCCCTCATGTAACTTTGAAGTGATTTCTGGTTTTCAGTACAGTTTTACCTACAATTTCACACCTACAATAATGAAACATCCTTTGGTATCGTAGGTCTGTACTGTTTTCTGAAGCATGCTTTTGTTCCCATTTCTTAGGCATTCTGTGAAGTTTATGTGTAATTTAAAAAAATCTAATGCATATATATGTATATATACTTACATATATACATACTATATTACACATATGCTGTGGCTGAACTAATATAACTTTACAGCTTTAAGTGACTGATCATGTATGGTCCTAGAAAAATGTGAATTAAACCAGTATGTGAATGGATTGTGACATATAGCTGAGTTCTTAAAATTTTGCATTTTGGTGCCCCAAAATGATGGATGTTAAATTATGAATTGTTGACCAACACTCTTCTCTAAATAACTTTTATCACTTTGTTGGGAAGTTTTAGAAGTTGCCATCTTAAATTACATCAAAATAGTGTTTGTATACTACCTGTCTGAACTCAGTACTCTTCTGTAGTGAATTTTAACATAGCCAGTGCCTTCAAACAAAATAAATATGATGCAGAACTAAGAGTTGTGCACATTCCTTTTGATAATTTCATGGTTCTTGTAAAATGTAGAGAGAAGCCAATCACATTGGCTTTTGTATTGCTGACAAGGCAAATAAGGGATGTCTTCAAGGAGTGAACATGGAGGGAGAAGAAGAAGGGAGTATTTTACAAGATTCTGAAGGTCTTGAAAATTAGCAAGTAAAAACATTACAGAAATATTAAGAGTAGAATCTGATTAATATGCTAAGATACTCTCAAGCCCATTTTCTATATTTCAAATTTAAGTAGGAGAATATTAAATATAAAGTCCATTTTGCAAAGAGGTGGTGTATTAAAAAGCAAGTGCAAAATGTCCCTTTTCTTGGATCTGCCACTCTATTTTTCTATTGTTATGTTTACTAATTGTTGTAGTGGGTTACTAATGAACCAGCTCTTTAAAAAAATTAAAAGGATCCATTACATATCAGCAAACGGAAGTGTACTTAAGATTATTTTATTTGTAGAGGTATGTAAGATAGGCTCAGTGAAAAAATGCACTGAAACAAATGCTGGGAATTTCCTGTGTACTATCATAGTTTTGGTTTTTTTTGTTCATGAAAATGTTTGTACTTTTTTATCATTGTCTTTTATGAAATATAATGTTCTAAAGATTGTGTTGGTTTGTTTATTCTGAGTTTCTGTGGAAAAGATATCATCTTTGTGTTTTGTTTCTAGATAAAATGCTCGTTTTTCTAGTGCTCGGTACCCCAAAGTAAAAGCAAAAAAAAAAGACACACCTGTCCAAATACATCAGGTTAGGCTGTGATGGGATCAAGCCTTTAGGCTAGCAGGGCATTTCCCTTTTTTTGTATTTATAGGCTTTCAGGGTTTGGTTTTATTAGGCTAAGTGACTCAACCTTTTTACGTACTTTTCCAAGACAGGGTTCTTCTGTTGAATCCCCTAATGGTTCTTCCCTATTTAGGAATCACTAGAATGGGAATAGAATTTCCTGGCATTAAATAGGAAACTGATTTTCTCAGGATTCATCAGTTATCCTTATTTTTATTTGCATTTTACAGCTATTATGAAAATGTCTGATGGTTTGAGGTATGCAAGTAATTCTGGGGAGTACTTTAACTTGGGACAATATTTGCAGAATTTTCTGCAAATACATGAATAAACTTCTTCAAGCATGTTTGAGTGATATACTTTTCTGAAACACAGCCTTCTGGTCTGTCCTTGAAAATGTCACCAATTATGATATATTGGAAAACAGGAAAGAAGGCATCTTAAGTATCTGTAGCCTGCTTAGCATCTTTAAATGCTGTTCTACTATGCTGTCACCTTTACCTGCTTTCACTTCCATGTCTCCAAAATCAGAACTGAGAGGTGAGTTTATCTGATTATTATGTGGGGTCCTGAGTAAGTAATCCCATGTGACTTCCTCTGTTGTGGGCTTCATTAATAAAACATAGGAGATGGTAGTGGTGGACTGTATTTTCCGTCTGCTTGCTTTTCATGAGACGCCTTTCACAGATGTGTTTTGTTCAATTCCTTTGCAAGAAGAAATTTAGTTTATCAGCTTCATAGAAGACTAGTTTATTCTCAGAGACTCCATAATGGAATTACAATAAATTTTTTCCTGAGGTTAATGTGTTTTTTTCAAATCCTAAACTTTTACTCAGAAGGGTAATACTGACAATACAGAAATGCAGAATACTTTTGTTCAGAAGAGTATTTGAAAACAAAGTCAATACACTTTCTTCCTAAAGTTAACAAAGTGAATAAAAAACTTAGTGATTTACTAAGAAATCTAAAGCTGTTGATACATTCAGATATGAAGTTCTTATCGTTTATGGAAATTTTAATTTACACAACTGAATTTTCCTGCTTAATGTCAGCTTTTATTCCACTGGCTCACTAACTACTGCTGTGGTTGAGTAAGAGAAGGGACTGAGGACAACAGCAATCTTGTAACGCCGATTACCAGCATCATTGGCTGTGAACACCACCTGGAAAAAGAAAAAAAACAAATATGAGACAAAATGAGAATTGATCTCTAGATAAAAGCCTAGATAGAACCATTGTGATCATTGTATGTAATTTCACATGAAACTTCAGAAATATTCCCACTCTGAAGTGTTACTGCTTGTAACACAGCTTTTACACTGGTTAAATACCCTTTATTGAAAGTATAAATGTCACATTATTTAAGACTTTATTCAGTCCATTTATCCAAATTGGCATTTCCTTGTTGGTACTCATAAATAGCTAGCACATTTGCCCATTCTTTCAAGTGTTGGAATGCTTTTGTTGCTCTTACCATGTTCTGTACTTCAAGGAACAGAATTAGACAGTGCTACATTAGCTGTCATTAGGCCAGAGTATAAAACAATGAGTTTCTTTAGTTCTGATTCAAAATCAATAGTTAGAGAAAGACTGCATTAGTTATCTAATGCCACAGCATGATAATAACCTTATATATGAATTATTTACCACAGCCCTATTAACATCTCCCTGACCAGCACATTCTGTCCTTTGATTTCTCACTCCACATAATGCATTATTTTGTGTTGTGAGATAAGAGGTGTCAGTTTAATAGCATTCTGTGATGCACAGCTTGTGCTCCTTTCAACATTAATAAAAAAGATGCATATGAAACAACCAGTGAAGTGAGGAAAATGTGTTCCCTATTGAGGCTTATTTTTAAGAAAGAAGGCTCTTGCATTGTATATTAAATTAATTTCCAGTCAACCATTATCTTGATATACAGTCAATTTACTTACATACTGTAAATCCTTCTTTTTCCCTTTTTTATTTCACTTCCCACAGAATGCAAGGCTATCTAGCATTAACCTTCATTATTGTCTAGTATAAGAATGTCATCTTTCGTTTGTCAGAAGACAGAGAATTTAATCCAGGTGTTAGCCACCTTTTCTTCACGGAGATAAGGAACAGCTAAGCAGATCTGTCACAGTCCAACAAACAACTAATACAGAGCTGCTGCTACTGAAAGCTCATAGGAAAGCACTAATGCTGTTGAGGGGAAGGAGACAGTCCCCAAATCCTCCAGCAGTACCTGGTTTGGAACACCTTTCTCTAACCAGTTTTGTTGTCCTAGGCAAATTAAAGAGGCACGTTGTACCTTTTTTTTTCTGTTGTAAACTGGGGCTCCAAGCATCCAGAACATAGTACATACTTTTCTTTCTTTAAAAATCTAAATTATGAACTTTGTCTGTAGCCATACAACTGTTGTCTCCAAAAGACAGATCAATGCTTTTCCCAGGGGACTTCACAGAGTACACCACTTGTTGTCCCTCAGACAGAATAATCACAAAAACAATCATGGGCTTAAGTAGGGGTAGAAGGAATGAAATCCTCTCCATAAATAATGTATCTAGGAGCTTTGAGACTTGTGGGGGAGCTAGCAACGAGGTTCTGTCATGACTGTGTTCCTACAAAGCTTTGAGACTGTGGATTTAAAGTGTTAATATAAAAATATTTTAAAGTGTAAATGAAGTTCAACATATGCAGTTAGTTGTAGCTATGATATTTTATTAAAAATCCTTTCCTAGGATTTTTCTCCTCCTGAGGAGCTGGAAGCCTCAGGAAAGAAATGTAAACAGTAACTATCTGCTGCTGTGGAATGCAACAGGTGCATCTTCCATTGGTCCATATGGATTGTTTTCAATTGATGACCAATCACAGCCAGCTGTGCCAAGGCTGTGAGCAGTCACAGGATTTTTGTTATGCATTCTGTTCTATTCTTGTTCTTTGTAGCCTTCTGATCTTCTTTTCTTTCTGTTCTTTTAGTATAGTTTTAATGTAGTATTTTACTATAATATATAACATAATAAATCAACCTTCTGAGAAAATGGAGTCAAGCCTTGTGTCTCCACACATGGGGAGTTACTGACAGTTAGTAACTGAAGTCCACACATATTAAGTATCTTTATTCTTTGCAACTGAAGTAGAGGAAGAAAGGAATACTCACATCAGCGTGTTGGTGGAAGGGATTCAAGCCCAGACTCTTCCAGTAAGAGACTGTATCAATCTCAAGCTTGTATAACCCTGCTGCAAATTGTTCTTTAGTTGTAAGCTCTGAGAGGCTGCCTTTGTCATTGGTTTGCCTGTGTAATGGTAGAAGAACACACTTTTATAATTTGGTTAAAAACCTGAGAAAGATGCATTTTTAGCAATTGAACTTGACTGGTGTGTGGCTTAAGTAATAGGATGAATACTTCTATTGATCTGGAACGGCTTATGTCCATCTGTATTATGGATGCCTCAGAGCTTATCTTGGCATTTTCTACTTCCACAGTGACCACAGCAGATGGCTGCCTGCCATCTCATTAACTCTGCATGGTTTGGGGGAGAGCCAAAAACTGGCATTATTGTTCATAGACTCTTGGCAGAGTCTTGGACTTCAATTAAATGAACCCACTCAGAGGGAAAACTTCACCACTGCTGTAAGCAATGTGGAAGCTCTATGATGCACTCACTTTTCAACTAAGCAGTGTCAAGTATCCTGAGTTTCCCATGGTTTTCTTTCTTATTTAAATTCATTGAGTTGTTTTAGCAGTGTAAGTATTGTTTACAGTTGGCTATTAGAAATTTGAGATCTGTTATTTGTAATGACCATAGGTCAGCTAGCAGTGCAGCCTCATGGAATTCCTTGTGGTTTGTATCGGCCTCAACAAACAGGCAGTTTTGTTTGATTTGAAGATACTATCAGTGTTATATAAAGCCCTAGTACTGGTATGAAACCATACATCGTTGAACACCAACCGATTTAGGGGTCCAGAAGCAATATTGAATGCTGTCTCTCAGACATGTCCCTTTTTTGAAACACCTTTCTGTGTTTCACCTTTCTGTGAAATAAGTTTTGTAATACTAGGAGGTTTTTCATTAGGTAGGTTATTCACAAATAACAGAGCTGCCAGTTCCTGATTTTGGTATGTAAAGACCACTGTCTTTTGTTCTAGCTGCCAAATTTTTTTGAGCATATTTAATTCAAATTGCATGCAGAGGAAAATAATGTCATTGTGCAGTGCAATATTTAGGATTTGTTTTTTCATGTAGCTTAGAAAATAAAGTATAGAATACCATTTATATCTTTCAAGATGCTCCATAGCCAGTTATCAGAAGTTTTATATCTGTTCAATCGCATCTTTTTTTTCTTTGTCATAGATTGATCATTGCTAGATAACTGGTCACTTCTCTAATAAGCTTTTTCAGATAATACCAAATGCATCTTTGATTGAGAACATTTGTTACAGGACGTCTTGCTAGCATTCAATTATTTACAAATTATCAAGGTGGGAGAGGTTGGTTTAGTATGACTTTTGCTTACCTTATCTTGAGGTTACTTTGCTCCTTTTTTCAAAAGTTAAATGTGTTTTTGAGACTTCAGTCAACATCCAGCTGTTATGAGTATCTTTATATAGAATCTCTAAGCTCAGAAGTGAAGATAAGTGAACTGAACACTCTTACTGGAAAATTTCACGCATTTACAGTGATAGAATATGTGTGAAATTTTCTTCTGACTTGAGGGAATGAGGCAGTTTAAGCAGGACAACATGAATAGATTGTTTTCCCCACATTGTACAAGTATGTGTGACCTTCACTGTACCTATATTTTGCAATGACACATGAGAGCAGTGTTGCTTGTGCCAGCCCACTGCTCCACGACACGGAAGAGGCATATGAGCAGTTTCTGCAGAAATTTATAGAAATGCATCTGAGTCCAGGATTCCACTGTTGAAGTTCATGTGCTATGCCAGCTCTAGCCCTTGAGAGCCCTTTCTCACTGTTTTTTAGAGGTGAATAGACTGTTAGCATACCTAGAAAGTTCTCAGGTGAGACTTGGCAACTATCATGAGGAGCTTAGTGTGAAAGTGGAATATTGCTTGGTGAATAAAAAATGCTCATTCTGTGTATCTCCTAAGAATGTTTCCAATTTAACTTCAGGCTATACTTTAAGTAAAAATTGATTTTTTTTTTTTTTAAGTGTTAATATATGCTAAAATAGAGGGCAATTTTAAAAAAAAAGTCATCTGTATCTTAAATTCTACAATTATGTTTTTCAAAAGACTTGGCAATATTTATATATCTGGAGGGTCTTTTTTATTTTTTGAGGTATGATTGCTTCTCTGTGGGGGAGAAGGTGAGAACAGTGTATCCCCATATTTTCTCCTTTTGGCTAAGTCCTTTATCTTGAAGTAAAGAAGGCTATCAAATATGATGTGGCATATGTTCAAAACAGTTTATTTTTAAAACTGTGGTGTTGTAAGAAATTAAAATCCATTTAGAAAGATGGAAAATGGCCAGTAAAGGCAGGATTCTCAACAGAGTCTTGGTTTCAAAATGTAAGAATCTATCTGATACTTCTGGTAACAATGCAGCAGTTCATTGCTGGGTCCTGAATGGTAATATAGACCTTTGCAACAAAATTAAAGAGAAGTGATTATTCAATTAAAGGATAGTTTAAAATGCTTTCTTGTGTTTGTAAGATTTATAAAGCGCTATAAAACCATTTTTGTAGTTGAAACTGCCGTACATTTAGAAGAGAGTCTGCAGCAAGTTAATTCAACTGTATGTTATCTATCCTCTGAGCAACACAGACATCTCACTTTAGAGAATGTGGAGTAGCTCTTTCAACTATTTTACCTCTTCCCATTGCTTTTCCTGTCTTTCACTCATAATTTTAGTGTGACTTACTTTGAATTTAACAGTTCCCAAGATCCATCTGCAGCTTCTTTATATAATTTAACTGCCACATTTGGAGCTGGACTTCCTCGGACGGAATCCACAACTTTTACGGAAAGAGGATGCTTGGCATCAAGAGGGTCCTGCAATAGGAAGTGAGAATTTTTATGTTTGTGAGAAGGGTAAGTAACATTGCATCATAAAATAGTAAGGAATATTATTCTTCAGATCTACAGTACAGACCATATTTTCCACGAGAATATTGCTGTGTACTGAGGAAACATAATCTGAAGCTTTCTGTGGGCTGGATATGGTAGAGCCAGGAAGGAAGATTTCAGGAGCTGTTGGGCATGTAGCCATGTACACCAAGGAGGCGCTGCAGGTGTGAGACCACATTTCTATTTCTTCTTTGTCATGGCTTAGCTACACAACACGTCCAGCATGAAGTTGTAACTAAATTGTGGCCCCAACAGGAAATAATTACATCCTCAAAGGTAGTAGGAATATCTGCCAAGTCTTCCTCTGTATTTTGGACAGGCAATTTGAGCACAGCTTTCTGGATTTGAATGCCTCTGATACCTTGTTCTATAGAATTATCTCTGTTGCCACAGAGCTACAGTTCTGCTGTGAACATGACAAGCATCACATACAGACTCTCTCCTAACAGCATGTTGAATCAGATTTGTCAACCCTGACAGCTACACAAAGACAGGAGAGGAAAACTTTCCTTCAAATACAGGATGGCTATCGTTTCATCCCGATACATCCATCACAAGTAGTGATTATGGCCTGATGTTTTACCTTTTCAAAAATAGAGTTGAGTCAGTGCTTTGACTTTACCTAATTCTGCAGATGAAGAGAGAGAAAACAGAGCTTTGTAGAAGGTGCTAATCAAGGATGATCTCAAAATAGCAGCCACTGATATCCATTTAATCATTGTAAAATGAATTGTGATGTAGATGGTTAAAAATTAAGAGCCTTCTCTTTCATTAAGAGCCCTCTCAAAATCTAGGATGTTCCACAAGCCAGGAACTCTGTCTAGTATCATACCAGGGTATCAGCGTGTATCTATACTGCCCAGATTCCTCATGCTCCCTTTCTGGAATGCAGTAGCTCCTCACTGGTGTTACTCGCGAGGCCTTGGCAAGAAGGGCTGCACTGCCACTGCTGATTTTCCTGACTTTTACATCCTGGGAGTTCAATGAAGCCCTAATTCCTCAACAATGTTAGTCAGGTATTATTTTCCCAAAGATCACAGTTGAGAGGAAAAATGAGTAGTTGAGGAGAGGCTGTTGTAGGAGAATTACAAGCTGAAGTGTCTGAGTCTTTAGCTTGCTTTCCTGGGATAAATGAGCTCTCTGAAAGAAGAATCCTGACTTTAGCTCTGTTCTTTACTTACATGGGATTAAGCTGTAGTGAGTAGAGCAGTAAGGCAGAAGTCTAGAGAAGGCCTTTCTCTAGCATTGATTTTGCAACAGGAGATGAATTTCTTTCATTATGTTATGAATGCTCAAGGTTTTTTGTCTAGTGAATACAATAGTTTTCCTTTCTTGTTTTCCTTTGTTTTTCATGTAGTTGCTGTGTCTAATGACAAGTGCTACTTCTCTACCCAGAAGGTCCTCTCACTAATCACTAGAGCAGGAGAAAGAAGAACCAGAAAAGAGCAGCAGCAGAGAACTACAGTCAGTACATACTGTAAAATCAAAATAATAATGAAAAAAAGAATAAAAAAAAAGAATTGGGACTACATGAGTAGAAGGACTTCAGTCCTGAGACACTTACCAATGGTGCGGCTTCGGAGCAAAGTGCCAGGCCAGCTAAGAAAACCAGAAATACAGAATGAAAAGCCATTTTGCCTACCACTAGAAGTCTGTGTCAGCAAGCAGAAAATGGTGAAAGCTGTGATTTTTATATCAAGGCCTCTGAAATGAAGCTACTTATCAGAAAACCCCTATGACTTTCAACATGTAGATTCATACTATTTACTTAGTAAACAATGAGAAAATAAGTAACCCATACAAACATGAACCTTGTCTGTGAAAATAAGTCTTTTCTATCCTTGTCTGTGGAAATATTGTGAACATTGCCTAGTACAACTACTGTGTTAATTTTCTTCGAAGAAATGTCTATTCTGTATTTTTCTCTTTTTATTGAGGAATAATGCTGTATTGAGGAATAATTGCTGTATATACCTGAGAGAAATACCAATTTTATGTCAACTCAGCAATTTCAGTGAGAAATTCTCTGAGTCACCCATGCTCATATATTAAGAGATTTCTCTCTGTGTTGCTCTCCTCCCCATCTCTAATAAGATGTAGGTGGATAATCTGTGGGCTACTTTGTTATCTTACGCATTCCCTAGGAAGAAAAATATGGTACTTTTGGTTTTCAGCATGGCATCAAGATACCTACACACCAACTTCCGAAGCACAATTTAACAGTATTTTAAGTCTCTTGTCCCTTAGATTCAGTACAAGCTCAGGACCTTCCCTATATAACTGCAAGTCAACTCCTACTGGAAGCATCTGGTTCGTTTGAGGGAAATGTGGCTTCTTGAAATTCAACTTTGTCTTTCTGATCTTTGCTCAGACATATGTACATACACTCTTTTACTAGATTTATCATCTCATCAGATGGATGAATACAAGCAGAGCAGTTTTTTCTCTTTGTTTTGGTTTGGTTTTTTTCTGAGTATATATATATGAGTAAACTTAAGTCCTATTTTGAGGGCTTAGCATAAGGCACTTCAAATGAAGCCTACCAGTTTTCAAGCTCCAGGAATAGCAGGATCCCATAAAATCTCCATATTTTATGATGGGCGCTGTTTTGAAACTGTTTGCACTACTTACAAGAGTTGTGTAACTATGGTAGCATCTAGAAATCCATGAAAAAGTAACCAGTGAAATGTTAAAGGCAAGCTTTTGTAACTTGTGAATTCACTTGCTATGCCGTCATCCTGGCAGACTCTGGGTATAAACTCCAAGGTCAGTGGCAAATGAGTGCTGCATGTTTCTGGCTGGCATGATTTCAGTTTCTTTCTCTGTAGTTTATGTAATCCAGTTAGAACCAATTCTTCTACTTCAGGATATTTTAAATACAATACAGAGATCACTGCTAAAAGCCTCAAAGCCTTTACTATAGTCAGTTTATCAGCAGATTCATTTGAATCACAGTCACTCTACAGCTTACGTTTTCCTATTTCTAAAAATATGAAGAGACTATTAAGATTACACTTCTCTTTTTGGACTTCTTTTTAAAGATGGCTACAGATTTGACTTATTAGGGATTTAACTGGAATGCACCTATATAGGGTAGTCAGCTGTGTTATGTCAAATAATTATTATTAAAGATGTTAAAAAGAGTGCTAATTGAAATTACTTCTGTAGTTCCTGGATTGATTGAGCAGCAAACTTTCCTCTTGAGACATCAATGTGTTGAGGTTTACCTGAAGTTTTAAGCAAAGGTACACAGATTTTAACTCTTTCAGCTCTCTGGTCATACTTATTTCAATGGTTTCTGCATTGTTTGTTCTGCTGCTAGGTATTCAGAATTTCACCTATTCACCCTGTGACCTGGTTGATAGTGGGACCATATTTTCTATGTGTAAACTTGGAGTAGCACAGGTGACTTTCTTATTTTGAGCACATTTATTTGTAATTTTTTTAAGGTAACACAACTATATGAATTTCCTGTTTTGAGCCAATGTATTTGGTGAGACTTCTTTAAGGCAATGGAGGAAGATAACAAAACTAAATCAAGTGTCATCCCATGTGTGCTTTTCAGATGTCCTTTGCACTTTAATGCAAATCATATTTTAGAAAACAATAAAATTCCCCTAACTGAGTCAAAATTATTTTAAAGAAGTAATATTTTATTGACTTGTCTGAAGTTTGCCAGGTTACAAAATGGAAAAAAACCAACTAATGTAGCAAAAAGTTATGCATTAGCAGTAGGAAAAACCTTCCCCCTAAAAGCCTATGATAGTTCTAGTGGAGGAAAGTGTGAAAAGATGGTACATGTTTATTCCTGGGGATCAGTGACAACAGCAGTGGTTGAGTAGGAGAAAGGGCTGAGGAGAGCAGCGATGGTGTAGTGGCGGTGACCAGAATCATTAGCAGTGAACACCACCTGGAAAAGGGAAAATTTGTGGTCATGATAAACAACATACACTTATTAACAACTAGGCAGCCCACCCCACTTCATCTGCAGAGCACTTTGCTGGTTCTGTTCAATGCTTTTACCCTTCTGAAGGGTAATGCTTCCCGTTACTTTGTGATTGCCAGGGACTCAGATATTAGTGAGATTTGGGTCGAGGTCCACAGAGAGCCTCAGCTGCAGTAAAGCTGGATGGAAATACCCACACCTGAGCCAGGCAAACTGCTTTGTGATGTGGAATAGGAGGGTAAGGGGGAGGTATCTCAAATGACCAGTAAGAAAGACAGGGGTGAAATTCCACCCAGGGAATTTAAATACAACCCCTGTGTGATGTGGCCAACAAGGCAGGCAGCTGGAGCCCAAAGCTATTTTCTGTACTTCAGTGCCCCCTCCTGTTTTTAGGACCACTGGTGGTGGGTCAGTTTTTGCATTAAGAACTGAGGGGCTAGACTTGCCAGAACAAGGAGAGACCCTTGCCCTAGGACAATTCAAATCTTCTGCTCTTCAAATTAGTCCAATGGGACTTGGGACACACAATTCCCAGGAAAGTATTGTCACCTGGGTTAAATTCCAGCTTTCTTTAGCCTACTATTTGATCTATTTTATACACCATGAGACATTTTCTATAAGTGGTCTAGAGAGTTCTCTCCTATGACCAAATTCTAAGCTGCTGGGGCTTGAGGACTGCAGGCTTGTTACCCTGTATATAGTCAGTCCCTGAACTCTCCCAAGCTAGCTTGTTGGCCTGTAGGCTGTTGTGTCAAGGAAAAGCTCCTTCAGCCTATCTGGAACAATCTCAGTCAGGCACTTTTAAGCACCTTCTGAGGTGTAGCCCTTACAACTTTCAGACATCCAAATGGCTAGGGAATACTTTTGAGGGTTCTTTTTGTGACCTAAATCACCCAAACAGCACCTCAGACTTTATGGACCTGGGACTTAGTAATTTGTTTTAGTCTTCCACTAGAGCTCCGTGAACCTGTGGTTTGAAATGTTCTACACCACCACCAGTAACTGTTCCAGACTACTTAAATTGGGGAAACATAAATTTAATGACAGATTAAGACTGAAGAATTTGAACATATTTTTGGATGTGCTAAGTAAATGCAGTAAAATAGAGTACACAATAAATCCATGTAGCACTGAAAGCAAAGGGAGAGACAGGACATTATCACATTTCTGGCCTGCTTGTGAAATTTGAGTGTCAACAAAATAGACAATTTTCCTTTCCCACTATGGTTATTTCTTTACTTTTTTAATACCTTCTTTATTTTTTAGTTGTATATTTTGGTACTGAACATCATTTTTAAAAAAGGCACACCAGAAAGAATTGTTGCTTCCCTGTAATTACATGTCATATTAGAATTCAGGGATTTTCATGTCACTGATATGGGGGAAATACCTCTATAGGATTTAAGCATAGCTTATTTCCTGTAAAATTAGGGTTTCCAAATCTCTCTATTCTTTCAGCATGAGTGAAAGCAGTCTCTCTCTTTTTTTTTTTTCCTTTTTTTTTTTTTTTTTTTTTTTTTTTGGTTTTCTTTTTGTTTTTCCTTGCTTGTTTTTATAAACACTGTCTACTATTGAATAATGTAGCTCTTTTCAAGCAAGACTCCCTACTGGTATGAGTGGGTGAATGGGCACAACTACACTTTGGAAGAGCTGTGTCAGCATTTGCAAGGAAGTGGGCTTCTTCCTGTGGCTGAGTTGGATATTTACTGCCTCTATTTGCCCAGGCTGTGTGGCAGTGAACCACTTCATTGAGTGTTGCTGCTCCTTCAGTATTAAAGGGCTGTGTTTGCTCTTTTCAGCTGATGCCACTACACAGGGAGTGTGTACAGGTTATCAAGGATATTTGCCACTACTCACATCAGCGTATTCGTGGAATGCAGAAAGCCCGAGCGCCTTCCAGTAGGAGCTGGTTTCAAACTTCACCATGTACTTTCCCTCTACAAACTGTTCTTCTGTTGTGAGATCATGAATCTCCCCATACTCTGTGGTCTTCCTGAAATGATTAAATAGCTATATAAATATTTTATATTATCATTTAGATGCTGAAACAGTCAGTGTGGAATATTAAATAGCAAGAGGTGCCAAATTCTACACTGAGCAGCATCTGAAATAATTCCTTCCCTCTGTGTAGTGTATATTTCCATACATTGCAGAGTCTGCCCTTGCTACCAACTTACCAATATACATCACAAATCAAAACTGGCTGGTTTAAGGTCCCTCTTTTAGCATCATGTTTAACTTGTACCCAATGTCCTCTGGAACCAAAGGTCACTGTTTTAGGAGAAGGAATGTCATGATGAGAAGCAAGATGCCAAATCTAAAAATAAAACTAAGGATGGAAGAGAAATTTTATTGGAAAATTATTTTGTTTTCTAGTTATTAGCACTGAAGGTCTGGAGTTTATTCTTATACAGTGATGTGATTTTATGTGACTCTTAGTGGTAATGTCTTGAAAAAGAAGTTTAGCATCATAAGATTTTAATAATTTGAATTACAATGCCTTGGTCAAAGAGCAGGGGCCTCTTCCACTGGGTACCATATAAATGAGCAATAGGAATTCCCAGCTCAGAGCTTATGTGCTCAGCTCAGAACAAAAAACTGTGGATGAAGAAACTCCAGTAGCAAGAAGGAATTATAGCTGGCACTGCACCCTATTTGTTTGAAAAGGAGGCTTTTCAAGCTTTGTATGACAGCTGTTTAAATATTTACATACTTAGCTCCTAAACCCCATTTATCTCTTTTCCC